AGTGAGGTTGGCCCAGGATCGGACATTGTTTCGTTTTGCTGTGCATGGGGTCGCTATGAGTCGGTTACGACTCGATGGCACCTGACAACAACAACAACAACAACAACACACACATATATAGATAAAACATGTATTTATCATATATATTGGAATTCCGGTGTGGCACTGTAGGATCAGCACTAGACTATTAACTACAAGGTCAGTGGTTCAAACCTACCAGCTGCTTCTCAGAAACCCTATACAGGGTCACTATGAGTCAGAACCAAATCAAAACAATAAAACAATAACAAAAACAATCATATACTAATATATCTTTAATTTTATTGATAAAATGTTAATAATATATTTGCCAATTCAACATTTTTCATGTGTATAATTCAATAAAACCAGTTGCATCAACATATTGTGCAACTATCACCAATATCCAATGCCAAATTTTCCATCAAAATAAAAATTCATTGCAATATAAACAATAATTCCTCCCTGTCTTCTTCCCTTCGTCCCACGACTGTACTAGGTATTTTAATTCATAAAATCATACACTATCTGTCCTTTATGACTCACTCAAGTGTTAACCAGCTATCTGCTGTGTCCCAAGCACTGTTAATGGCACCGAAGGTACAATGGTAAATGAGCCCTCACAAAGTCTGGGGAGAGGGTACAAATGAAGTTACATGCAGATGCAAAATAGTACTTGTCAAGCTTTGAATGGAATCGATTTAGGATTAGAGAGTCAAGCCTACCTTCTTCCATGGAAGCGGGTAGTTCTCTTGGATGTAATGAATGCTTGCATTAAGAAACGGAGTCCAGTGGGTGCTCTCAGACACGTCATGATATTTTCCTGACAAAACAAAAGCAGCACTCAGGATCCTATCACAAAGAGAAATGACGTCCTGAAATATGCAAGTGCATGGATGAACCTTGAAAACACTGCGCTAAGTGAAATAAGTCAGTCACAAAAAGATCAATATTGTGTGATCGCACTGATATGAAGGACCTAGAGCAGGCAAATGTGTACGGACCCAAGTGTATCAGTAGTCACCAGGGGCTGGACGGGGAAAGGAGGACTTCATTGCTTAGGGGACACGGAGCTTCAGTTCAGGGTGATGGAAAAATCAGAAACAGTGGTGATGGCTGAATGCAATTAAAGCCACTGAATGGTACCTATTGTTGTTGTTGTTAAGTGCTGTCGAGTCAGTTCAGACTCATAGCAATCCTGTATAGGGTTTCCAAGGAAGAGTTAGTGGGTTTGAA